AAACAATCGACTAGTCAATCAGTTATTTTTAAAACCAGTCGGGTTTTTCAGTCGAATGAAAAACCGAGTGAATTCCACTACAACTGGTGTTGACTGTGTACAGTCGGCGCAAGGTTTCAGTCATTAAGGAAAACAATCAATCATATTATTACTGTTACTGGAAACGGTTTGAGTCTTTGTTGTTGATTTATTGTTTGTTGTATTTTGTGTTGAAATTGTTTATGTATTATTACTTAATAACATTTAGTTTATACAAGACAAGTTTATTCAGTAGTCCTACCATAGACTAACCAACACAAGTAGACTTCTCATCCCATTGTAAATTTTGAAGCACGTTTTTCGTGTCTAGTTCATGTACGTGAAACATGGGCGTTAGTGTCGACGAAACTTTGTTTCTATTATTTTAGGGTTAATTTATTGATTTGTGCTTTACTGTTTGGTTATATAACTAGGGGACAAGTTATTGTTTATGATTAGATCGTATTATTTGGTTAAACGAGGTTTTAAATGGCTGTAATAATGGAAACAAATTGTAAACAAAACACGACCTCCGTCGCGGTGGGGCACACGGGAGGGACTAAGGCTAAAATATCTTGTAGTGTCAGCGTTCGCCGCTAGGACTCAGGACTGCTAAGTTGAAAAATTAATTTTTTATTTTTTATTTTTTGTTATAAAATTAACTTTTTAATTATAAAATATTGTTTTAAAATTATAAAATAAATTTTTAATTTTTAAAATTAAACTGTCATAACATAACCTAACCAACCAGACTTGCTGATAATATAAAAACTATATAAGAAAAAAATCTAATTAATGATTACTTATAATTTTTAATTAATTATAAAATTAATTTCAAAATTTAGTATTATAAAATTAAACTGTCATAACATAACCTAACCTAACCAACCAAACTTGCTGATATGAAAAATTTGTTGACAAAAAGTTAGTGCTGCCAGCGGGTTTCGAACACCAGACCTCCTGAACTCCAATCCGAAACGCTACCAACTATGCCACGAACGCCGCTGAAATCACATCGTTTCGTTACGGTATTCGTGTCGCCTCAAGAGAAGACATTAACCACTAGAGATATGACGTCACTGACGTCCTTTAGCCTTAGTCCCTTCCGTGTGCCCATTCCACCTCCGTCGTGTATATAAGATAGTAGGGGTGATATTAAGACGAATCCGTCTTAAATAAACCGTACAGAACTAACAATAAAATTGTCTTCGTGTCTAGTTCATGTACGTGACACATGGGCGTTAGTGTCGACGAAACTTTGTTTCTATTATTTTAGGGTTAATTTCTTGATTGTGCCTTACTGTTTGGTTATATAACTAGGGGACAAGTTATTGTTTATGATTAGACCGTATTATTTGGTTAAACGAGGTTTTAAATGGCTGTAATAATGGAAACAAATTGTAAACAAAACACGACCTCTTACATAAACCGTACAGAACTAACAATAAAATTGTCTTCAGCTGTTCCATAAGGATGAGAAATCTACTAAGGAAGTATGTTTTGGAGTATGTTTTATCTATGGTTTTATCATAGATAAAACATACTCCCTTAGTAGATTTCTCATCCTTATGGAACAGCTGAAGACAATATTATTGTTAGTTCATGTACGGTTTATGTAGAGGTCGTGTTTTGTTTAAAATTTGTTTCCCGTTATTACAGCCATTTAAAACCTCGTTTGAACAAATAATACGGTCTAATCATAAACAATAACTTGTCCCCTAGTTATATAACCAAACAGTAAAGCACAAATCAAGAAATTAAACCTAAAATAATGGAAACAAAGTTTCATCGACACTGGCGCCTTTGTGCCACGTACATGAACTAGACACGAAAAACGTGCTTCAAAATTTACAATGGGATGAGAAGTCTACTTGTGTTGGTTAGTCTATGGTTTTATCTATGGTCCTACTTTCTTAAACTAAACTCAGTAAAACAAATATTCCTATTTGTTCATTGAGCGGAGCGAGCGAAGCTCTTATACGTCGACTCTTATGCATTTCGTAATACGCAAACTCCTCCTAGACGGCTGAATCGATCGTTTTCAAATTTTGCATGGTGATAAAGACCATATCGGTGAGTGCCAACATCTATGTGGCGTTAAAAGATACTCTCAGGAATCCGCCCCTCTGGGTCTCAAAGTTTCAACGTAATCCTTATGGAAGCAGTATTTGACACATAAACAAAGATTGTTGTCTTTTGAATGCAGTAGATAAAGAAAAAGCTGATAGAATTATTACACAGATTTAGAACAGAAACGGTATGGATCATAAATATAATCAAATGACGACACTAGCTTGAGGTCCGTGACGGAGGAAGTAGTAAAGGTGAGCAGTCTGGAGTGTGGAAACTGTTTATGACGATTAGATTAAGGTATCTGCATTCCTAAATTTCTATGGGAAGGGAGGAAAACAGGTCCGCGACGTAGGAAGTGGTGAAGGAAGTAGTCAAGGCGAGCTGTCCGGAGTGTGGGAACTGTTTATGACGATTAGATTAAGGTATCTGCAATAATAAAATGCTATTGGAAGGGAAGGAAACAGGTCCACGACGTAGGAAGTGGTGAAGGAAATAGTAAAGGCGAGCTGTTCGGGGGATGGGATCTGTTTATTACCATTAGATAAGGGTATTTTCAAATCCTATGATGGTATGGGAAGGGAGGGAAACTGGTCCGTGTCGTAGAAAGTGGTGAAGGAAGTAGTAAAGGCAAGCAGTCCGGACTGTGGGAACTGTTTGTGACGATTAGATTAATGGTATCTGCAATCCTAAAATGCTATGGGAAGGGAGAAAAAAGGTCCGCGATGTAGGAAGTGGTGAAGGAAGTAGTCAAGGCGAACTGTCCGGAGTGTAGGAACTGTTTATGGCGATTAGATTAAGTTATCTGCAATCCTTAAATGCTATGGAAAGGAGGGAAACAGGTCCGTGAAGTAGGAAGTGGTGAAGGAAGTAGTCAAGGCGAGTTGTTCGGAGTGTGGGAACTGTTTATGACGATTAGATTAAGGTATCTACGATCCTAAAATGCTATGGGAAGGGAGGAAAACAGGTCCGCGATGTAGGAAGTGGCGAAGGAAGTAGTCAAGGCGAACTGACCGGAGTGTAGGAACTGTTTATGACGATTAGATTATAAGGTATCTGCAATCATAAAATGCTATGGGAAGGGAGAAAAAAGGTCCGCGATGTAGGAAGTGGTGAAGGAAGTAGTCAAGGCGAACTGACCGGAGTGTAGGAACTGTTTATGACGATTAGATTATAAAGGTATCTGCAATCATAAAATGCTATGGGAAGGGAGGGAAACAGGTCCGCGACGTAGGAGTGGTGAAGGAAGTAGTAAAGGCAAGCTGTCTGGAGTGTGGAAATTGTTTATGACGATTAGAGTAAGGTATCTGCAATCCTAAAATGCTATTGGAAGGGAAGGAAGTAGGTCCGTGACTTAGGAAGTGGTGAAGGAAGTAGTCAAGGCAAGCTGTCCGGAGTGTGGGAACTTTTTATGACGATTAGATTAAAGGATCTGCAATCCTAAAATGCTATGGGAAGAAAGGAAAATAGGTCCGAGACGTAGGAAGTGGTGAAGGAAGTAGTCAATGTGAGCATAGTGTGAGAACTGTCTGTGGCAGTTAGATTAATGTATCTTCAATCCTAAAATGCTATGAGAAGGGAAGGAAACAGGTCTATGACGTAGGAAATTGGTGAATGGGAAGTAGTAAGGCTAAAAGTGGAGGGTGTGGAACTGTCTTTGGCAATTACATAAATGTATTTGCAATCCTAAAATTCTATGGGAAGAGAGGAAAACAGGTCCACGACGTAGGGGGTGGTGAAAGAGGTAGTAAAGGTGAGCAGTGTTGAGTGTGGGAATGGATTAATGTATCTGCAATGCTAAAAAATGCTATGGGAAGAGACTGTAGACTGTAGGTTAAAATGATTACGAAGCACGAATCGATACATATTTTCGATACATGCAATCATTTGAAATCGAAATTTACAACAAATTTACAACAGCTGATTTTTACTCCATAGAGGCTAAAGACGATTTTTACTCCCAAACAAATAAATGCTACTTTAGACCACTGAGCTAAAATTATAACTGGAGGTAGCACTGCCATGGCAGAAGTCTGTCAAAAGCGAGTCGCTGATTTTGTTAGGTTGGTATAGCAGTAAGTTTTCTTACCATAGCAATAACATGGCTTCTTATAACTAGGTTGGTATAGCAGTGAGTATTTTTGTCATACTTGAATACTTTGAATACTTTAATAATTTTCTTTGAAATGGCGACCATACAAAGTAGGTATTTTAAGCCAAGTATAATAATAGCCATAGCAATAATATGGCTTCTTATAACTCACACCTCACGCAAACATGGCGGCTGGCGACACGCATCTTTGACATTCAGTGTGCTACCTCCAGTTAGAATTATAGCTCAGTGCTTTAGACTCGCAACGCATGCATTAAAAACGACTGTTTTTACTGCAGTACGACAAAAACAATATAATATGAACCCTTGATGGCACCGCTCAATTTTGTGGATGCCTCTGCGAACGCCACCTAGTTCTGGTTATGGGTTTTAAATCTGATATGAGATGAGTACAGTACATAAAACAGTGACTTGGAAATTACACATTTTTAAAGACATAAAAATACACATAATACATTATTTTAATAATTATACCTAAACACTGTTCACAATTGGTCAAATTAGTGTACAGTACGATTCAAATTACGATAGTTTATCTACAACCATTTCCATTCACCAGTCACCAGTCAGTCTCAAAAACAGTCAGTATGGTTCTTACGACTAGTTTCAACCACCGACGTTTGACTGTTTCCAGTTATTCCAACGATTGGTTGACTGGTTTGGTTCCAGTCGCCGTAGAACCGGGAGTATGAAGTGACTAGTTTCAATCATATCCGGGAGAACAACCGACTAGTCGGTTGTTTTCCAGCAATCGATTGAATCGGTTGTTTTCAATCAGTTCATTCAGTTGACGAGTTGAGTTGTTCAGTTCAGTTCAGTTGTTCCCATCCCAGTCCCCGAGTCCAAGTAAGTCCCACCATATGAAATGGAAATGGCTAGCAACGAAGAGGTAAGAAAGCGTGTGTCACGTGTACATTTTATTATATAGTTTCGCAAGAACATTTGATTTATTTTTGTTTTAATTTTTCAGTTGGTGAAAGCTCTCAAGGATCTACCCATCAGAATCCAAACTGCCAGCAAAACTCAACGGAGAGATGTGATTCAAAATGTCATTAATGTTCTACCTAAACCAGGTTAGAATTTTCTGCTAGACCGGGAATTTAAGAGAGTTATAAGTTTAGGCCTACCCAATAGAATTTAATTCTAAACGAAGATTTATAAACTATTCTAACTGAACGTTGAAGACTTATCGATATGCTTAGTTTTAGCGAATTTCCCTATTGGGAAGTAGCTATTACCGCAGGTGGCACGGTGAGACCTAGGCCCTGGAAAACAATGATTTTTAGCGAATGGTAGTTATTCCGTATAGGTGCCTCCAAACGAATTTTTAATTTTGATATCTTATATCTTACTTTACAGTTTTTTACCTCCTGAATCCAAATATACCATTATTTTTCACAGCTGATGAATATTTCTCAAGATATCGCCGTAATAATATACAACATTACAATAAACAAGGTAGGATGGATGACATTTACATTAGGAATGAACTATGTATGGGTTAAGTAAACCAACAGCTGATTGTTTTCAATCATAGTCAATAGCCCAAGAGCCCATGAATGCCAGACCTTCCGACCTTCGTCATTTTATAAAAGCTGAAAATATCTCAGCAAATGCTCCCGGTTCAGTTAAGAATGATCGGCAACTATGACATTTGGATTTTGGTTACTTTGGCAACAAAAAGATAACAAAGGTCTGAAATTTGCAAAAAACCATCGTTATAGTATAAAGCTTGGTTCTTTCATATTTTCTTCAGAGGAGTGTTAGAAATCATTTCCCCCATTGCCAGACACTTTGTGCGGTTTAAACCCTCTTCCAGACACCCTTAAAAATTAGGTATGACGAAGATTAATTTTCGTCATTTTATAAAAGCTGAAATTGGTGTACCGGTATGTTATTTGGGGAGCTATCAAAAGACGTTTTCTCAAAAGCCAGACACTTTCGTTGGTAACATCATCTAGCCAGACACTTTAAAGTCTGCCATGATTGTTACCTTCAAACAGTGAATTCAGTTCCAGTTTGGAACAGGTTTCTTTGCCAAATGTAAACGGTTACATTACTAATTTCTTCCTCACAGTCTGTTTTTATAATAAACCATATGTTTGATGTAAACATATGTTTTATTTGCATTTAATTGTTTGTTTATTCCTGCAGTGTTTTGAAAATATGTAATTATGTTCTAAAACCTTTGGACACCTTTGGTTTATTTATTGTGATAATTTGAAATACAGGGTGAATAAAAAGTCAAGACCCCCCATCCAATATTTTTCCAAGTAAATATACAGAGATATCCTTTTGGGGGTCGTGCAATCTTAGCAGGAAGTTTCTTTTTATGATTTTGAAATTTTTGAATGTCCCCCGAAAAGGGGGGATTTGGGGGGTAGCTCAAATATTTTAAATGTAAACCCCCTTCAAGTGACACCTCATTTTTAAAGTGTTTACAAAAACTTAAAGAATGATGAAAACTAGAGGTCGCTATCTCTTCTCTGTCCAAAATGGTAGCCCGTCAAATGTTGTGGAAAATCAATGGTAAAATTGGTTCTTAATTGTAATATTGGCTACCATTTTGGATAGAGAAGAGATAGCGAACTCTGGTTTTTACCATTCTTTAAGTTTTTGTAAACACTTCAAAATGAGGTGTCACTTGATGGGGTTTTACTTTGAAAAGATTTTAGTTGCCCCCCCAATCCCCCTTTTGGGGGGACTAAACGTAAACCCCCATTTAGTGACACCTCATTTTGAAGTGTTTACAAAAACTTAAAGAATGGTGAAAACCAGAGTTCGCTATCTCTTCTCTATCTAAAATGGTAGCCAATATTACAATACGAACCAATTTTACCATTGATTTTCCACAACATTTGACGGGCTACCATTTTGGACAGAGAAGAGATAGCGACCTCTAGTTTTCACCATTCTTTAAGTTTTTGTAAACACTTTAAAATGAGGTGTCACTTGAAGGGGATTTACATTTAAAATATTTGAGTTACCCCCCAAATCCCCCCTTTTCGGGGGACACTCAAAAATTTTAAAATCATAAAAAGAAACTTCCTGCTAAGATTGCACGACCCCCAAAAGGATATCTCTGTATATTTACTTGGAAAAATATTAGATGGGGGGGGTCTTGACTTTTTATTCACCCTGTAGCCTATGTGTTCTTTAGTAACACATTTCCTAATTATTGCGCTAATTTACATCATAGTATAAAACTGAATTTGATGTATGTTACTTGGGAAGCTATGAAGATACATTTCCTCAAGAGCCAGACACTTTCGTTGGTTGTTTCATCTAGCCAGACACTTTAAAATCCTGCTGTAATATAATAGTTAGTTGTGGGCTTAACTGCTACATACGAACAGTGACTTCTGTTACAGTTTGGAATAGGTTTACACTCCTCTGAAGAAAATATGAAAGAACCAATCTTTATACTATAACGATGGTTTTTTGCAAATTTCAGACCTTTGTTACCTTTTTGTTGCCAAAGTAACCAAAATCCAAATGTCATAGTTTGCCGATCATTCTTAACTGAACCGGGAGCATTTGCTGAGAAATTTTAAGCTTTTATAAAATGACGAAGGTCTGGCAGTCATGGGCTCTTGCTCTACAAGCAAATGGAAGTGACAACTTTTATTAGCTAGCTCTGATTGTACAATATGAAAATCACCTGATTAAGTTACACTTTTCACTTTCTAAGACCCATAAGTTAATAATGTATTATTGTTATCAGTATTTTATCCTTACTAATGATTTATTGATTTATCTTTCACCGTTTAGAAATTATATAATAAAATGGTGTTATTCTAACATAACCTAACCTAACCAAACCTCTAGAATGTGTAAGCAAACTCCTTTTGATGTCAGAAAAGGCAAAAAGGCATGTCAGGGTGATTTGCAAGCATTTTTGAAAAAGTAATTTGAAGTGTTTTTCTCAGGATTTTAATTTTACAAAAACAGTCTGCAGGCAACATAAACTAACAACTCGATACATTGTAACCTAAACTTTACCTTCCTAATCTAAACTTACTTCAAAACACAATGCAGTCACCAATTCACATATAGCACGACCTACCACCCTGACATGCCTAAATAAGAACTACATGTAATTAGTCCACCAGTCCATCTATATCTCCATAATGTGACAAAATTCCTATTATAGAGAACATTAAGTTATTTGACTACAGAATCACTTGAAATGTTATCCATCCTATCTTGTTTATTGTAATGTTAAGTATGTTTTTACGGCGATATCTTGAGAAATATTCATCAGCGGTGAAAAATAATGGTATATTTGGATTCAGGAGGTAAAAAACTATAATGTAGGATATCAAAATTAAAAATTCGTTTGGAGGCACCTATACGGAATAAATACCTAGCAAATTTCCCATAGGGAATAAGCTATTATCGTAGGTCTCATGGTAAGACCTAGACCCGGGACCGATTTACTTTTTCGTTTTGAGGTCCCCAAAGGCCAAAAACATCATCGGTTCAAATTCATACCTAACTTAGGCCTAAATTATATGTAGTCCTATATTTATATATATATATATTATGTGTCCGTTAGCACAATAATTTAAGCAAAAATGTTCCGATTTTGATGAAATTTGGTACAAAAAATTTGAAGCAAAAACACTGTCCATTCAAATTTATATTGTATATATACTAGCTGGCCCGACAGACGTCGTCCTGTCCTAATGTGGTTTTATGTCAAATGCTCGTTCATTTTCAAGATGAGCTCGTTCGCATGGCTCAATCACGTCCTGGTTGAAGTTCGTTCGCTATGCTCACTCACCTGTAGGTGAGTCCTACTCATAAGGTTAACATGGGAAACTCCAGAGCCACTGGGGCGGAGCCCTTTTGACGGATCTGCACCAAACTTCACACAAACCATCCTTGAATAATGCTTAAATGTCTAAAAGTTCAATACAATCTGTCGAGCGGTTTCAGAGTCCATTAACCCTAGGAGTGGCGAGACCGATTTTCAGTATGTGCTTTGTGAAGTGGCACGCTCATTTTGGTGAATTTGTAAGGGAGTTCTTCAAAAATCTGTATAAAATTAGTAGGGATAAATGTAGAGATAAACTATCGAACCGTATATTCATTTTGTTCGTAATAGTCAGTAGAATTCAAAAATGGTAATACAAACCAATTTTAGAATGGTAGATGTTTAGAAAAAAGTAAAAAAAAAAAATTATAAATTTTTCAAATTTTATTTCAAAAGCAAACACGTGTCACATGTAACGTAATTTTTTATTGCACAATTCAAAATAAGCATTTTGTTCAGAATTTATTCCTCTACATAGACAAATCATACAGTAGAGTCCCACAAACTCGGCGTAATGTGGACTGGAAGGGTGCCGAGTTTGTGAAATGCCGGGTTATCGGGAACTAGGGTTAAAAATAAAAACAATCCAATTTTAAATCTTTTTAACCGCCTTTTTTTTATTTATATTTATATTACAAGTCAGTATTGAGTCATCAGATATAGTACAACAAATCCTTGGTATAAGTTGTGAATGATTTGACATGAGGTAGCTTGAGTCTATGTTTAACTCGGACTCAAAAATCACTAATTATCTGAGCTAGGTGATGGCCGAGTTACCCAGACTACCGGGTTATCGAGTGCCGAGTTTGCGGGACTCTACTGTATACACAAAATGATTATTTTTAGAGATTTACTAGCAATAATACGGAAAAATTGGAAAACCTCAATTTCTTCAACTAGGCCTATTTGTTGATAGATCCACAAATGCCCTCTACTAATAAATCAATATGATAAAACCATACATTTTTTGAAGCCAATAATATCATTCTATATAAGAATAACTAAATAAGATAAGTAATAGAATATTTGGTTTTCACAAAAGCAAAAATGTAAACAAAACAACTGATCAGCTGTTATAGCCCACAAAACTTCACTAACTTTTTATCCTATTTTGGATCACACATGTATAAATATTTTTCCAAAATAATGCATAAATATTTCGCCTAATACAAAATAATAAACTAAAACGAACATTACACTGTAAAATTAGGGATAAAACCCACACTTCGTCTTTGTTATCAGACAAAAACTCTACGCCATTTTAGGTTAGACGATGACAAGTGTTCTGTTCCTTTAGCTTTGAAAAAAAAGCTTCTATTTGTGTGACCAGCCTAACAACATTGAATTCTACTGTCCTTCGTCTACAAGAGCGTATATAAAACAACGTTTTTGTACTTTTCACATTATATATATATGCGATTTAGTAATCAACATTTTATGTCAATCCGCCACATGAACAATACGTAAAAATAGGCTATTTACAAAAATTGTTCATCAGCTGTTGGAATGTATTATGACGTTATACTTTATACAGAATAAACGATTACTTCATGCTTGTTGCAGTGGTAATCAGTTCATCAATAACTGATGATTTCCTGAGGCCTAGGGGGGCATGATAAATTTGCTATCTCCGGTTCCCACAGCGGAAGGCTTTATAGGTGGCCAATGTGGGTTCTGGTTGAAATTCTCACAGTATTTTATTTTTATTTTGTCTATTGCGGAAAAAAATCCAAAACAATGAAGTCCCTAGAGGCCAAAAACACTATCCATTAAAATTCATATATTGGCCTATATATATGTGTCCGTTAGCACAATAACTCAAGCAAAAATGATGTTGATGAAATTCTGTAAAAACGTGTAAACCTACATTTATTCGAATGAGTTCGCAAACCAGCATGATCGTACTATGGGAACGGGGGTTTATGGGGGGTTTTATGGGGTAAAAATCGGTTTTCCCATTTTTGACCCTAAAAACACAAAATTTCACAATATCTTTCCAAACCATTTTGTAGAGCTTAAAAAAACAATTTAGTATATTGAAACGTTATTGTGCGCATTGTGGTTACGGAGAAAACTAAAAAAAAATTGTAAATTTAAAATTCCCATGTTATTCTTATGGAGAATAGGCCTAAGTAAACTGTTGTAGTTTGCTTGTTTATGGACATATTTTGACCGAATTTGGAAAATACGTTCCTAAACTACTAACTAGGGATGGACGAGATTGGATTTTTAGTTCGAGACGAGACGAGACGAGATTTTTTATTTCTCATAAACTTTCGAGACGAGATCGAGACGGGATTTCCCTTCTCATACACTTGGGAAATGCACGTTCAAAATTTTTACCTGATTTTGTAACATTGTTAGATGACTGTTTAAATACAAAAATAATGATAATAGGCAAGAATATTTACAATCTTTTATTAAAAAAACATCAGCATAACATTTTTTTATTAATCACGCCTAACTTATTAAAAATGCCTACGATTAGGAAACATAGTGATATCAGTTAGGATAGAGTTCAACTTATCCTAAAATAAAATAAATCATAAAATAAAAGCAATATTAATTTTTATAAAATAGTTAGGTACTTGTTTTGACTTTTTATAGTAATAAACATTCCTCACACTGCTTACATTTAACAAAACTTCTCAAATGTTATTTAAGTAATATTATTAAAATAATTAAAGTAATATTTACATTTAAAGAATTAATTAAATAAGAACGCCTTCGCAAAGGAAACGCAACTACAACACGCTCCTGTATTGCGGGTATTGCATTGACTTTCTGCAGGCGTTTTAAATTTTTTTTTTTTTTTTTTTTATTCTCGTCTCGATAAAAATCTCGGCCAAAAAGAAATCTCGTCTCGTGTAAGGAGATTTAAAATTTCCCGAAAATTTCCCGAAATTTCGAGACTTGACCATCCCTACTACTAACATAAAAAAAACACTTTTTTACCCTTCCTGTGGCAGCAAACCTAAGTACTTGTTAAACTTATTCTATTTAAATAGCAAATAGTGGAAATTTGCTTAGTCTGTAGGTTTACTGCAGCGGGGGTATTGTATAATATATGTCAGAACCCTATTTACGTAACATTAGGTTTTATCATAGATAAAACATAGTTCGTTAGTAGATTTCCCATCCTTATGGAACAGCTGAAGCCAATTTTATTGTTAGTTCTGTCCGGTTTTCTGTAGATGTTGCGTTTTGTTTACAATTTGTAATTCTATTATTTTAGGGTTAGTTTCTCATTATTTGTGTCTCACTGTTTGGTTTTAGCTAGTGGACGAGTTATTGTTTATGATTAGATAGGTAGTTTTATTTGGTTAAACGAGGTTTTAAATTACTGAAATATCAAGAAACAAATTGTAAACAAAACACAACATCTACAGAAAACCGGACAGAACCAACAATAAAATTGGCTTCAGCTGATCCATACGGAATAGGAAATCTACTAAGGGACTTTGTTTTATCTATGGTTATATCAAGTTACTTACTTAGACTTGTTGCTACAGGGAATGTTAGTAGGAATGTTCAATCGATATGTATTAATTGTAAGTAAAGTTAGTTAATTTTCCTTGAGTAATGGTATTGTCATTGTGTTGTCTTTTTAAAACCGCATTGTAGATACACTTTTTTTCTGATTTGCTCTTCAGATATTACTGAGCAGATTGTTCGTGGATTGTGCAAGGTCATTCATTTGACTCTCCTGAGGTATAGGGACAGTGGTTCAAAGGCTCTTGTGCGTCGGTTACTCACAACATTAGTGATAAACCAACCCGATTGGACCATCAAACATATTATTCCTGTTCTCTCAGACATCGGTCAAAGCTACTCAAATCTTGTTGCCACGTAAGTATTTTAGTATTAATCTAGCCTATTGAAAATTATATGTATTAAGACTATTTTTTCATTGTGAAATTAAGTTTAGGTATTCGTCATTTGTTTTTGTTTACACTTGTCACATTTTAAATTAAAATTAACTTAGCCTCATTGCCTTATTCAAATCCTTGTCAAGAGAAAGCTTTCCAAACCTCTCAAATTTTTTGTGGCCATATATTATGCTGAAAATCAAACCCATCTCTTGCCTACCAAAGTTCGAGGTTTAATCTAACCACTAGGCTAACAACACACCCTTAAGTTATTTAACTCAAATTAAAATCCCTGTGATTTGTCCATTTCAAAATATACACTTATTGACTGACAGAACACTTCACATGGTTCAGTTCTTACTAATAGCTTATGTTAACAACAACATCAAATCAAATCAAATCAAAACATCTTTATTTTCCTTACATGTACATGGGTACAAAAATAGTGTCAAGTATAAAGTACTAAACTAGCTTAGATATAAATACATTTTAAGTATGAATATTTATTCAATGAGTTCCTCCATTGTATAAGGCGCCTTTCCTATTGTTAATAATGTTTTTTTAATTTAGATTTAAATAATTTATAATTTGATTCCTCCCTTATAGAGGCAGGCAATTTCCTTAGAATTTGTGATCCAGCAAAAGTCGGTTTTTTTTTTTTAGAATTCCAGCTTATAGGTTGAAGTTACAATATCCTTTTTATGTCTTGTATTGTAGCTATGTGGCACAACTGGCTCATATTTTAGGCTGTCTCTTTTAGCTATACAAACCTTCGCTATACAAATCGTCAATTATAGGCCCTAATCATTATTTTAAATTTATTAATGAAGAAAAACAACTGTATCTGGTTGTTTTTGATTGCAGATGTTTTAACAAGTTATTACCATAGTACTCATGGTAAGTTCTGGACCCAGGTCGTTTTGAGGTCTCTAGAGGCAAAAACACTGTCGGTTCAAATTTATATACATACTAGCTGGCCCGGCAGACGTCGTCCTGTTCTAATGTGGTTTTATGTCAATGTTCGTTCATTTTCAAGATGAGCTCATTCGCATTGCTCAATCACGTCCTGGCTGAATCGACCGCGACAACTACGACTACGACTGCCGGGTCTTCACAAGCTCAAGTAGCGCAAACTATTTCACAATCAACTGTGCCATCGACTTTAAATTTTTCCACTACGACTGCAGAGGCCACTCAATCTTAAGTAGCTACCACTACGTCACAGTTAATGGTACCATCGACTTTAAGTACCTCCATTCGCTCGGACAGCTCGAGTAGTCCAGGGTTTTCACGCTAACAGTCTCCGTTGCTCGCTTTTCGGCCTTCATAGGATGCTACCTTCGTTGTCCTACACGCACGAGTAAACTATGGTTGTATGTCAGCACAACGACGCACTGACTAGGAATAAACCGGCACTAAATACAATGCTTACTACATGAACTAAAATACGTGACCAGCTTCTTCTAGGCCTAACAAAGGGAATCGTTTGTCAAATAAAAACTAAAAATAATACTCTCGTAGTGAACAGAAATGTCATAACACGCAATAGTAAAATAACAAAATAAAATTAATCCGAGCTAATATGCCAATGAACTTCTTGGCTTCGAGATAACTAAATATTATACTTAATATGAAATAAAATAAAATTGCTTTGGATAAATAAACTAAAAGGGGGGGGGGAGCACTGCACCCGCAGTGCCGGCCTGGGAAATACAATACACAAACCTCTTACAACTAAGATGACGTTTCTAATAAATCACTTTTATTCGCCAAAGTAAAACGGGAAAATAGGATTAATACTGTACGGGTATACTGCAGTATTACGTCTGTCGATACTTATTTCGCTTAATATTATCACTTCTTTTTTTTATCTCGCTCGTTGCGAATCGCATCTACGTCTTAAGGCTCGCAGCAGGTCCGCTGTATGGTCTCGGGAGAGGGTGTTTAGCGAACGTCCGCTCGCCGTCAACTCCCTAATAATTTTCTACTGTCCACCGGACTCGGCTACTCCTCACCACCGCTACGTCAGCGCCCCGAGGTTGCGGCGGCCAAGTCACAAACTAGGACACTTGACAAGTGGACAACTGGACATGTTTACTTCCGATCATTGTTGTCAAGCGCACTCGAGCACTTCGTGGCCTTAAAATAATTAGAAACGAACCCCTAATAAAATTTGACCATTACAATGTTTTAATTTTGACTTATTTATTGGCCCTTACGGTAGACTCTGTCAAATGATTATTTAGTAGAAATGTTTGTGATATTTGTTATTTTCAGCAAAAACACCGCGGAAACATGTCTAATTGCTCTCCAGTGGTCCATGTTGGTGGTAGACCATGGGCTCAAGAAGTGTTCCGACAGTGGAAAAGCGGAGTTTCAGAAACTTGTAGAGGCTCAGTCTGTGATTCTGTCTGCTGTACTGGCTGCAAATGCCACAAAGTAAGTGTTTTTGTGAATTTCACTGATAGTAAAGAAGATATTACAGTAAGTGCCACAGAAAACCCAAATGCGGAGCTTCTAAAAAAACCAAAAATTTTGTTAAAAGCAGCATTGTTGTAATGTACCGAAACATTCTTGGCCCCAAGTACTGTTGTCTAAATGAAGAATAAATATTTATTTATTTATTGCCAACGGATTTCACCAATTTTTACACTTGAATTACATTGTAAGATAAGCTCATTATGACTAAATAGCCTATGGTAATAGTTGGAATAAATACCGGTATTAAAAATAGCTAAAGTAACAAGAAGAATACAATAAGAAAAAGTATACTCGAAGACTTGGACATTGAAAGAACTAAGAAAAACTAGAAATAAATGCATGATTGAATAAGTTATTAGCGATGAAAAATAAATAATACAATAAAAGAGGATACATAATACATTAACGTTTAATACTAGAATAAAGTGTATTTTACTTAAAGTTAATGCTTGAAAGATGCAATATGACTTGTTTACAGAAATATTTAAATTAAAATCCAATTAGACTAATTAAAACTCGCTTAGCCTGCAGGTTTGCTACGGCAGGGGTATTTTTACTTTTTAGATAATTTCCTATAAAGGGAATAAGTTATTACCGTAAGTGTCATGGTAAAAACCTCACTAACTTGATAATTTGTAAGCTGTTGAGTTTGGGTGTTGTCCAGCTATCCTGAACAATGAATTTTTTAATGGGTTTTAATTAGGGGTGTGCGAATACTACTTTTTCTTTTCGAATCGAATTCAAATTTTTTCGAATCAAATACTTTCCCTCGAATAGTATTCGAATAGTGAACATTTTTTAACCGAACACTAACCCTCAAATAATGAAAACTTGAAATCAATGTTAAGTCAACTCTCAATAACTTAATTACTAAAACTGTTGGTATATTTTTTTCAGAATAAGTGTAGATTGTAAATGTATCTTTTGTTTAATTTAGGCCTAGTTTAATTCAATAGTTAACTGAACAACAAATTTTGTAAAACACATTCAACCAATTGGGTAGTGATAATCATTATAACCACATAAAAACGCACATTGTTTTCTTTTACTAAGTAGGGATTTAGGCCTACAACTTACTGTCAGCCCTAAGTTTATGTTTTAGAACATAAACTTAAAAAAAGGTATGCCTAAAATAAAACTTGTTGTCATAACTTAACATAGCCTAATCTCATGACTTGGGCTTAGGCTACTTGACAACTAGGTTTGAAGGTACAAGAACCTAGGACCTAGGCCCTATTTCTAACCATATACAGTACCTAGTTTAAATCTTCAATTGAAATAATAAAGCCCCTTTTAGCCTAAATGTAGGCTAACTTAAACTTAGGCATTTTTTAAATGAGTTTATTAAGTTAAGTTACATAGGAAATGTATAATTATTAACTTTTAACCTACTTTTAAGGACTTTTTACATGTGTTGCATTCTGCAACAGAGCCCTTATTGACAAAAAAATCCCAAATTAAACTCCTTTACTTATTTTTGAATTCTTGTGATGATGTTGAAGTCACATTTAGACCTAAATCGGTTTCTTCATCTGAATCCATCTTGTGTCATTCAACCAAACATAAATGAAGCCTAGGCCTACAACTTTTAGGCAATATCCAACTGTATAAAAGCAACTGTTGTCGAAATATACAAAAATTGTTACCAAGTTTAGCTGAAATACTTAGCGCAGACGTGCTAAACAAACTGTCTCTAAACTCCAACCTCAAAACTTTTTGTCTTGTAACACAGCTTGCGCTAATGCAATAGAAAAAAGAAAGAACAGAAATTGTTGTCTGCTAGAGAAGCAGAAGAATAGAAGCAGACTTCCATAGCAAGTGCGAATTACGTTTTACTCTGGGATCACGGCAAATCTATCTAGCAGACAACATTTGTATATATCATATTTCAAGTTTATAAAGGTGACGGTGCGCGTTTTGGTACCATGTATAAGAGAACTCAGTATAATTTGTTCCGGTATCTTATTCGCCATCACTTTTTCAGTTTTACTTCACCTGACACATCAATGTCGTATGCTAGATTTATGTAGGTCTACCGTGATCCCAGAACAAAACGTAACTTGAACCCGATCGCCATCGCCAAGAACAATGAAGGCGGATGAATGCTAACGTAGTGTTTTGCAGCACATAATGAGTTTAATAATGTTGAAAAATAATAAAATAAAATATCTAAGTTCGAGTTTTAATTAAATATTGTATTGCATTTTTATTTAATCTGAAGCAGCTTAACAGTTTTTATTAATTTTCAAACCAAGTTAGAACGGAACTATTTTACCGACCTTGTTTATTTGGCTAATGGCGGAGGACATTAATTCATCGGAAACTCACGACACGATTACACAATAGTTGAAAATGAAACGTTGTCACTCGATAGTCGATAGAAACTGATTACTATTCGTATTTTAGCCCGATGGTAATTTTTTATTAATTACTTGAAACACTTTTTTAGCCAACTTGATTTGTTTTATGTTTTCCAAAGCTCCAACTAATTATGTGACCAGATGCGAAGTATTCAAATTCGAAAAGGTCCCACGAACTATTCGACCACCGTCGAACTATTCAAAAAATCGAATACTCGCAGATAGAACGAATCGAATATTCGCACACCCCTAGTTTTTATAAATAAATAAAGGGTGATTTTTTTATTGTCGCGGTTTTTAAAACTAAATAAAAAAATGAAAAACAACCTGCATTGACATAAAAATGCATTTATTTGAACTACAGAGTCATGACATTAACGTTTAAAAATGATTTCTGGCATATGGGCTCTATTCCGTTCGCGTAGAAAGCCCAATCGAGAAGTCCAATTTTCGAATACTCTTTCCAGCAGCTGTGGTTGAATTCCGCCAATAACTCGACGAATGTAGCTTCCAAGTAATTTAAAGTTTCAACGCTATCGGGCAATTTTACAGGACTTTTTCGTTCCTCAGCTAAACAAACTTGAAGTAGATTTAGAAAATGTCTGGTTCTAACAAGACGGCGGGACGTGCCACACGGCAAACGACACAATTGGCCTCTTGGCAGAAACATTTGGTGAACGTATCATCTCATTTAGAGAAAGTGTCAACTGGCCCCACGGTCGTCTGATATCACGCCAACAGACTTCTTTCTATGGGGATATGTTAAGTCTCAAGTATACGCTGACAAGCCACAAACTTTAAATGACTTGGAATCTAACATTCGTCGAGTTATTGGCGGAATTCATTTATTTCCGTGACCGCCGGAGAATTTTGTGATTTTGCCAAGATTGCGCATAAACCAGTAGAGACCTTTCCGTGGGAGATGTTCATGATTTTGCCGCAATGGCGCAAGACAACGATGACGTTTCCGTGACCGCGGGAATAGACAATGATGTTTACACAGCCGCGGGAGATGTTAAAATTGTTGCCATGATCGCAAAAGACAACGGTAATGACTACTTGACCGCGGGAGATGCTCCTGATTTTGCCGCGATCGCGCAAGATGACGACGTTTCCGTGACCGCGATGATAGCGTCCACACGTCCGCGTGAGATATTAATAATTTTGTCACGATTATGCATGATAACGATGACGTTTCCGTGACCGCGGAAGGTGATGATAACGTTTCCGTGATCGCCGGAGGATGATCCGGACAACGTTTCGGTGACCGAAACACTAGTTAAAAATAACTAAAATTACGAACTTAAAAAAAAAAAACTAAAAATCTTCACTTATTGGTTAAACAGTGTTTAACCTTAAAATTAAATCCCTGATACTTAAATTAAATTAATACAGTAGAAGCAACACTTTTTCTAAAACATAAGCCTGATAAAAATTTAAGTTTAAATAGTTTAATTTAAACTAATTTAATTTAATTAATTAGTGGTAGTCTGGTGTCCATTTTGTTATACTTTTACCGTCCCGATGCCGTTGCCATACTATCAAGTCACTCAAGACACAAACTCCAAACTCAAGTCAATCCAATGTTCCAGTTCCAATCCCAATTCCAATTTGGTTCAATCGACACTGAACAAGAAGCAAGAAAACCCCACCATGTCCGTAATTTTGTTCTCTGTTGGTTATATAACTGATCGAGTAAAGTGAATACCCGGCTAGTGTAATTTAAGGATGGAACCAAAGAGTCGATTGTTGAATCATCAATTAACTGCTCGATGATAATTTGCTTACAACTACATGATATACAATCTACTGAAGGAAAATAAATTTTGCTGGGTCAGCCACCAGTTGGTGCTTTAGTGCTTATGTTTCTAACCTTCGAATGCTGGACCCAATATTTCGAATCATAATAAGATGATGAAAATTATTGGATCCCAACCCGGATCTCTTTTTGATAAATTCAATTATCGATTACGAATCTGAACACAGGTAGAAAGAGAAGATTGGTTCTCAAATTTGAATCTAATCCCTAAAAAGATTCACATTAGATTTGCTTTTTTAATTATTCGCACAGCCCTGAATATTCAACTTTTCTTTGTGATGAAAAATAGGTACTCTTATAAAATTTGTATACAAAAATTAGTCAGTGTAATGTAAAGGGTGATTTTTTTATTGGTGGGGTTTTTAAAACTAAATCAAAAAATGAAAAACAACCTGCATTGACATGAAAATGCATTTATTTGAACTACAGTGTCATGACATTAACGTTTAAAAATGATTTCTGGCATATGGGCTCCATTCCGTTCGCGTAGAAAGCCCAATCGAGAAGTCCAATTTTCGAATACTCTTTCCAGCAGCTGTGGTTGAAGCAGCACGTTTTTTGTTTTAAATCTTACAAGTATTTATTCTCTCAACATATTTATACATTATTTTATACTTTTTAGTGTGTTTAAAAATGTGGCAAAATTAATAACGCCTACAATCCGGAAAAACTAAAAAAAAAATGTTTGTGGTAACCATGTAAACCATCTATATTATTGTTCTTTGTCTTATTCTGAACAAAATGATATATAATAATCCATAGTTATGCTGCTATTTCTA